CTGATAGAGGCGATAAAAAAGATGGGGTTATTTCTAAGAGGTGAAGACATTTCAAAGTGAATTTCCAAGTAGAATTACCCTCCATAATAGAAAAAGTTCCGTCCCGTAAAAGTCCTGTTCACAAACTTCTCTCATCATATATATATGTCCAAACCAAGTTCACTTTTAACACTAGTCAATGTCATCTCTCTACTGAGTATATGTCTTAGCACCAGACCGGCTGCTGTACCCTACTGGTCATAACTTCTCACTAGAGCCAAAGTAACTACCTACCTGAATAGGGCCAATCGTTATTGAGCATCAGATTGACACTGAAGTGTTGGTTTGTAGGGATTTGATTGTCTACAGGATTTCATTATATATATATATATATCACGAATTAGCCCAAGTTGAATTTCATGGGCTGACCATTGGATCGTATCTCAGGGGGTTAGTGGTCAACGCGCTGGCCTCGTAACCGAAAGGTTTTGGGCTCGAATCCTGAAGGTGGGTTCGTACTGATGAAGAGTCCCTACCTAAACTGACGCGAAAGCTATCTGGCAGTACTCCCTGCTGGTTTTTCAGTGTTTCTCTAACCGATATCAGTTCACTTTTCATAGTTTGAAAAAGCTTGGGCATTGGGAATATATGATGTTGATTTTCATAAAAGTTCTGCTTTACCTATTATTTTTTAAATTTTTGATTACAGCTTGATGCCACACTGTATTTTCAGTACAAGTATGGCATTTTCAGCATGGATATCGGTAGCCCAAATTTCGCAGGCCGACCATAGATATCGGGTGTGCGTCGGCAGGGGATCGAACTCCGGACCATATGCATGTTCAGCGAGAGTCCTAACCACTGTGCCACCAACGCACTTTACGAGAAAGAATGCATAGTTGCAACATCAAACTTGAATCTTATCCAACGAGAATCGAAAATATACACGACTGTTCGGCTTTACTTGTTAGAACTAATAAACTCAGTTCCTTTCAAAAGTTATTCAAGGAGCGGGCATCAGGTTTTCATAATGTTACCAAAAATAGACAATTACAGAAATTCTTGAAACTTGAAGAGAAGAACCAACCGAAGAAAATCCCAGCAAATGATATGAAGAATACAAGAACTACACACAACATTTGTGACAAGATACTGACTGAAAATGAAATCTCAGTACTATAAAAAGTTTGAAATTCTGTGTTACTAGAAAGCCATTATCGATTCAGAAAATAGCACGTATGATGGTACCTGCTCTACAGCTGATCATCATTGAAGAATCATAGTCTGTGAGTCAAAAGATAGTACACATTTTAATGAGGCAGCGAAACATACCGTCTAATCGCACCAAACAAGAATATGAAGCCCTAAGAGACTTGAAAAAGTATAGAAGCATTGTTATAACTAAAGTCGACAAGGGAAGCGTCACTGTGATAATGAACAGGACTGATTATGAAAAGAAAGCAATGGAACACTTATCCGACAGACCATACTTGCGTATTGAAGAAAAGAAGAAATCTGCTGAATTCAACTAAATGAAACTGAATACCAACAGACTCCTTCAAGAATTAAAACCCGAAATTGGAATTTCTCTTTGGTTTAAACTAAAACCAAAAACTTATATACCCTCACTATTCTACGGACAACTGAAGATATATAAAACCAAAGTCTCATTAAAGGCAGTAGTAGATTTTACCAACTCACCGACTTACAGCCTCTCCAGTTAATTATCTTTGATACTGAAACCCCTGCAAAAGGACACTCAGAATGCTATTAAAGATTCACATGTTTTGAAATCTAAAACAGAAAACAAGGAAACTGATAAAGAAGATATTGTGGGAAGCTATGATATTAACTCATTATATATTAGCATTCACGTTATAGAAAGTCTTGATATTATTTTCAGTTTAATAGAATCAGACACAACCCTATCAAAAAGATGTCTACCGGACACCAGTGAAATAATTAACAGCTTAAAATTCTGTCTGGAAAGTAATTACCTTATATTTAAATGGGAATTGTATAGACAAACAAATGGTATTGCTATTGGTTCACCAGTTTCCCCAATAGTCGCTGTTCTTTTCATGAATACATTTGAAGATAACATCATTTCAAACAAATTCACACCTAAAATATGACTGAGATATACACTGATGATACTTTCGTTGCGCTAAAACGATATCTACATAATTCATTCTTAGAGAAGCTGAACAGTCTATCTCCCAACATCCAGTTCAGACTTCAGAGGCAAAATCAGATCTCAGTGAGCTACCATTTCTACACCTATCCAATTAAGAGGAAAGAAAATAGATTTCTTAATAATGTATCTATATTCAGGAGGAAAACACATTCGACAAATATTTAGACTTAGGATCATTACACTCCATCAGCGCAAAGGTATCAGTTGTTTCAAGTCTTCTTAGATGGCCACCCCTCTTTAATGTCAATGGATGAGTAGGACAAAGAAGAAGAAACTTGAAACACTACTGAAATTCCCAAGAAGAAAATAACTACTCAGAGAACTTCATTAACAGAATCAATACCACCACTAAATATGGTCGAAAATGTATTCCGAAGACATGGATGGATCTCAATGGCTGTCACTCCATACAGATCAGATACGTCAGATGATATTATCTGAAGAGTACTCAATAAGCACAACATCTTCGAAACTTACTACAAAGCAACCTTGTCGATATAAAAGGTCAAATTCCAAAGGATTCTCAATCTAATTGTGTTTATAAAGTAACATGTTGGGAATGTGATGTGATATACATCGGACAAACGTCACGATAAATCAAGATAATCAGAAGAAATGAGCACCGTAGAGCCGTCTCTGTTCAACCACCGAAAGTCCACTTGTGAACTAGAAAAGCTTTAAAAAATCGTTAGCCATAAATCTTCTACACGCTACAGAATCAGTTCACAAAATTGATTTTAACAATATTGAAATAATCCGGAATAAATTTCAGAAATCACGAAGATGGACTGAGACAGAATTTGTCCTGGATGCAACAACCCTCCTCCACACCCTCTGTGAACTGACAAAATCAACACAAATGTGATAAGCAGTTTCATTATGTAAACAAATGTCTTTTTTTCTATAATTTTTTACGCCTATGAAATCCAACAATCTACATACCCGTGATTTTTTTATCTTTAACAATTGGTCAACTCGACAGCATTGTAAAAATTACCGCAATGCCGATGAATGATGATTACGCTGTGATATATAAAAGGGCATTTCGTGCAGTCTGGTTTAATATTACTACTCTGATAAAGCTATTAGCAGCATTTTCAACAGCGAAACGTCGGTAATATAAACAATACCGTTTTGTCCTTTTCATTCATTCATTCATACATTGCGAAATACAAATATAACTCCTATAATACACTGAATATCACCTACCCACCTAATGCCCACATTTTTTCAGACTGTTAAAGATGAATTTAGTTTGGCCAAATATTAAAGAACTACTTCGTTTCATTTGTAGCAAATGATAAGTTTGTAATAAAAGAAAATCAATAATCTATTTATCATTCTGTGTTAGTCAACTTTGATATTCAGTTTTGATGCACGACAAATATTCTGAATGAAGCAAAACAAGGGATTTTAGCAGAAGTATTATACCATTTGATATATTTAGATACGTGTCAGTCGAAAAAGTTTCCATAATCACAGTCACCCACCGTATCAAAGGAATTTGCAAGAGTGACTGCTTAGAAAATGAGCTCATCATATTTCTCAAAAATATCCAGGCTTAAAATGGATGCGCAGCATGCTTCGTGAAGAAGAAAATGAAACCAAAGCACAAAGGGAAGAATAATCCGCTACAGCACCAAAGAAAACACTATGTTTGAACCTGGTTTTCGGAGGAGACTTATCTATCGATGTCCCAAAGTGAGGAGAATCTCTAGTTCCCTATAGAGGACTCTTCCTTCAGCAACTGATATTCTCTAACCTCCCACTGCTTCTAAGGACGCACTATTGCATATATCCACTTTCTGATGTGCATATATCAATTCACCCGCCTGTGTACGGCTACCTACATAGGTCTTTCTATGCAGATTCTTTCGAAACGTGTTAGACAACATTATCCAACATGGCTTCTAACAGGCGTTACTGGTTCAATCTGAAGCGCCTCAACTGACTCATCCGTCACTCAGAGTTATTTGCACAGTAAACAAACGAAATCTACCAAAGTCATTGTGTGTGTCTGTTTTCAACTTCTTTGTACTGTAGAAGCTCTCACAATACACATCGGAAAGCCAGAGCTATGTGTATTCAAAAAAACAGCAACATTTACCATGGGTCTAGTTGAGTTTGACTCCTCAGATTTCCTTTTTTGTCGTTGTTTTCATTCTCTTAATTGTTTTTGTTTTTCATTTTCAGTTATAGAAAATATTATTTACATATTTTTCCATGCTCATCCCTTTCACACGTGTGCTCGTTATAAAAACTGTTTTTCCAATCCTGTGTAATTTTGTTAGGTAGCCCCCTTGTAATCTTATATTCACACCTTCAGACATTCATGTCAGTTTGCAAATTATCATCACCTTTAATCTGCTTCGTCATTATAATATGTGGAATTAAATAACAATAATAATAATAGTGTCTATGTAAACTCGTGTATATAAATGCGATTGTACAGCTGCTTTTGAAAATAAAATTGTCGAAAACTCCTTGTTCTTCTTTTCTGTCTAAAGTTTTCATTAAACCAAGATTCAACACATACACACCAACAGACATACTGATAGAGAGGATAAATAGATGGAGTTATTTCTGAGAGGTGAAGACATTTCAGAGTGAAAATATATTTATTTGCAAGTAGAAATATTCTCCATAATAATAAAAACTTTCTGTCTTGTTGACTTCATGTTTACAACCTTCTTCGCATTGTTTCTCTTCCGTTCTTCTGTCAAACGGTCTATCCAATTCAAATCTTAAAAAAAATAGAGATGTGAGTATGTCCCCATGAATGTTTCATGCACGTTTCATGTCTCTTGTAAACTCATAAAAACAATCAAACCACTTCAGTCGACTGTTTCTGTTCTTCACAGTCTTTTCGCATTAGGTAGATTAGATTACTGAGGAATAGGAACACTACTGCCACAACACAAAACCAATATGCCCAACCAAATAGATAATTCACACTAAGATGTATATGTTGCGTAGGAATTTGCATATTCTCATAATTTCGATACAAAGGTGTACTTCTGTTTGACATTGTTAAATGAGTTAGCGGATTTTTCAATTGATCTCTGGATGAGGCTTTCTTCTTCTCTTCAAGGAGTTGATTTCGATGTCGAAGTGTGAACTTTTTCAAATGATAACTAGCTCCTATTTCATGAGGTAGGTGACGCATGAAGTCAGCCCACACGGCTACAGAACTTAGTAGGCTGATAACTGGAATTAGAGAAAAGAAAACAGTATTTTTAGGTAGGCAGTAAATTAAGAGCAGAAGATTAAGAATTCTCAAGGGTATCGGAGATGGCATAGAGTATTGTCCTCATGAAATGACATAATGGTGAAAATGACTGCCGGTGTCAAATTAACCATGATTCATATAGTTCAGGTCATTCTATTGCAGAAATAGCCAGTGGTTCAAGTTTAATAGTCTTACGTGAAATCCCTCCAAGTGTCAAACAATTAATTTCACATTCACGAATAAACGTGATTTCAACACGAACTCATTAGTCCATCACGCGATGCTCATATTTAGCTTGAAGGGCAGTGATATAGAGAATATGACAAGCGCATAAATATCTTTGAATACTTCTATCCTCTGATGTTTCTTGTTCGTTCATCCAATTTCCTGTATATTTCTAAGAAAAAGCACCGTTCGATCACTTTCTACATTGAGAAGTTAAGACAATCTGGAATTACTCAACCTCCACACTTGCAATCTGTGCACTCTTGCATGTTACCAGTTACACTTTACTGTCCGCTGCCTACCCTCAGTCTTTCCAGGATTACTCAAAAAAGAATGTGTCATATTTCGAAGGGTAATAAGAGCTATTAGTAGGGTTGATTGTGTGCCACCATTTAATCAGCTTGTTACTCTACAGTAGTTGATAGACACCATAACTCATGTGAGAAGTGGTTCAGATCCGTGTTTCCTGACCACACGCTAAACACTAGTGTTTGCAGGAAACCCACACACTCAAACAGATATTTAGACTTCCCATCATCCCATCCTATGTCAGTAAAAATAGGATTGGTGAAATGTTTAGATGACAGAACACAAAAACTAAGTAGTACCAAAGAAAATCTAAAACAGGAACTGATACACATAAAAGAAGCTTTGAAACTTAATAATTACCCGGATAAATTAATCAGGAAATATGTAAGGAAATGTAAAAATAAAATAAGTAATGATAGTAGCGACACTGATAATAACAATAATGATGATGATAATAATAATAGTGATAATAAAAATAATATTAATGACGACACCAACAAAAAGGAATCTAAATTATCAGTGGAAATTCCATACAAGGAAGGAACCTCGGAAGCCTTACGCAGAATTCCTAACAAGGCAGGAATAAAAATGGCATTCAAACCCACAAACTCAATTAGAAACAAGCTTTGTTGGTTAAAGGATCCTGTAGAGCCTTTAAAACAAAACAATTTAGTTTATCTAATACCCTGCAATGTGCGTCGGTGGCATAGCGGTTAGGACGATCGCCGACCATGCACATGGTCCAGGGTTCGATCTTCGGCCGACGCACTCCTTTACCTCGCTAAGCCAGAAATAATGTTGGTGAAGAGGAAAGGTTGGGCATGGGACTAGCAACCCCATCCTGTGAAATAAAAACTGCTACAGAAACTTCAAGCCACTAACTTGGAGCCCTATGTTCCACTGGGGAACATGGAGGAAAAGAAATACCCTGCAATGATTGTCAGGACAAATACGTAGGTCAAACTAGTAGGAGAGGGGCAGTCAGACTAGCTGAACATAAAAACTTAGCAAAATCTAGATTGGTTGATCCCAATAAGATAAGAAATCTAGAGAATAGTTCAGCTATAGCACTAAATGCAGTTACACACAACCACACAATAGGATGACAGTTTTAAAATCTAATGTCACAGGGTATAGGGAGAGATTGATAACAGAAGCTTTGTTTATCGAATCAACTACAAATACGTGTAATAGGAATGATTCATCACCTGTCCCCGATATCTGGAAAATTCTACTACCCCCACGACAAATAGGAGAAAGCAAAGAAAACTATAAAACTCAAGTGTCAAAGTCGTGTGATTACAATTGATATGATTATGAACAATAAATTTTGTTCGAAACTGTGTCATCCAGTAAATAATACTGTTTCACTGTGTGATATATGTAATAAACAAACTAATGTGGAATTATATGTGTGCACTTTGACCCTACTGTTTTGCCAATGCCAGAAGTTGATGGATATTATCATTTTTGGTTAAGTGTATCCTATAATGCATTTCTTCCATTGTTTTTGTTTTTGTTGACCTAATTAGATGCACTTTTGTACAAAATGCTGAAAACTCCACCACACTCTATCATAAGTACTGTTTTGAAATAAGAAAAATCATTATTACTATATGGACGATACTTTTGTCTTTCATAATAATAAAATCGATGCCATGGTTCTTCTCAAAACGTTTAACATGGTTCACCCACAAATGAGTTCACGTATGAAACGGAGGAAGACAACTTCTTATAATTTCTTGATGTCCTGATAGCAAGAAGACAAGAAGTATTAAGCTGGTTATTTTATGGAAGAAGTAATGGGTTGGCCAATACACCCGTTTATTTCATATCATTTCTCCACTACTTGCATACAAACAAAATCTCACCAGTACCTTGATATTTCGTGCTAGAAAAATCCTCACAACTGACACTGTGAACTTCAAAATAAGGAGAACTAACCCTTACAAACCAAACTATAGAAAATAGAAAACTCCTTATATGAGAACAGATACCCAGAAAAATTTGTTATAGTCTTCATGAGTAGAACAGACGGACAGTGGGAAATGCCTGGAAACGTCGCCGAAGAAACGTAAATGTACTTGACTTTGCTGGCTAAAAGAGACTCAGTAACTAAATTTCAGGGATCGAAACACCGAAAAATAATAGCTAAAGCATTCTTTGCAGAAACATTTCTTTTATAATTCGCCACTTATCGGATGATTCCAGCACAGAGCCTGGGCACCTCATCAATGTCCATCAGTAAATTTAATTATCTGTGTGGAGGCAGTTACATCTTTGGTAGGCAGAAAAACTCGGAAAGCCCATCGTTGCCTTCTTGAGTAAGCACTTTCCAACGTGTTTAGTTAGGTAAAGGATTCATAAAGTCAATCAGAAGTTCCATACTAGCACACCTAGTGGATACAGAGCACAAGATTGACAAAAATTCAGCTTTTACATTTCTATACAAGGTGCCACCTCATCTCCCTAGGTTGCTACGTCTTCGGCTGCCATGCATAGCTGAGACAGTTGTCTTGATGATCTTTCAACCCAATCTGTGTGTTCAAAAATATTTGTTCAATTTCTTTCCCTTCCTTGCCCAACTTCAGCCTACACCTAAAATAGTTATCTCTGTATATATTATCTAATTATTTCATTGTATTTGTAATGCTAACTGTATTACCAGTATCGTGCTGTCCTTTAGATGTACACTTTAATTCGGTTTCACTAATTATTATTATGTCTAATCGCTGTATGACAATAGTTATTTTTCACTCTACCCCAACTAGTTTTTTTTATTCCTTCACATTCCAAGTGAAACATAAGGTTTCAAGCTAGAAGCTTGAAGTTTCTGTAGCAGTGTTTATTTTTACAGGATGGGGTCGCTAGCCTCATGCCCAACCTTTCCTCTTCGCCAGCTTTTGGTTCTGGCTTAGTGAGGGGTAAGGGAGTGCGCCGGCCGGGGATCGAACCCCAGACCATGTGCATGGTCGGCGAGCGTCCTAACCGCTATGCCACCGACGCACCACCTCAACTAGTTAGTATACACATTTTACCTGTGCACTCACCATTGTCTAAATTATATAAACACTTGAATGAATTTATCCTTGTTAATGTAATGATCACTTATACTGTATTCCATTAATTCACATACCTGAACTCTGATCCTATATATATATATATATATATATATATGGTGAAATATCAATCATAAGCATTTGAAATAATGTGGTTAGTAAAATATAGATATATATCCTACTAGGTTCGAATCAGTGACTCTCCGGTTACATAGCAGGGTCGTAGATGACTCAGCCAATGGAACCCGATTCAGTGGCCAATGAATACTCGCCGATGACATTGGTCAGTGGTCACAACAAAAGCACGGATTGGTAGAGATAAGAATTCATGGACCATTAGATGCGCGTTCCAGTTTTGAAAGTTGAAAGTTTTATGTGATCTCCCTGTAACCGGAAGGTTCTAGGTGCGTACTGTGAGGAATCTCACCCTAGGATGAAACGTGTGTCCATTACAACCTGGTGTTTAGTGGTTCTGTGACTAACAACAGTCCAAGGTTAAACTTAAGACAAACCGAATACCAACAAACTTTCTCTTGAAAAATAAATCTCACAAGGTCTAAGTGGTAATGGATAGATACCCTCTAGAGAACTATCGGAAAACCACCTAGAAGTACTCTGCAAGACAACTGCCCCTATTGTTCTAGTTTGGGACTCGTCAGTGGCTCAATGGTCTATGAGCTCGCTTTGTAGAGAGGAGGTCCTGGGTTCGAACCCTGGTGGTGGGTGCGTACTGCTGACGAGTTCCAAACTAGGCTTACTAAATAGCTGTTCAGTATTCCCTAGTTAGTTTCCAATGGTTTTCTAACTGCGCTAAGTTTTCATGTAAAAATCATCCAAAATGCGGTAACTGATTTCACTAGGAACATGATTTTAGAAACCACTAGTTTTTCAAGCGTTTTCATTTCTGTTGAATGACTTCCTTCTTTTATGTACTGGTAAAATAAAAATTCTTTTGTATTGCAAGTTACTTATTATGCCAGTTTCAATGGTTATATTTAAGATAGTCCCTATTATTGTATATGCAACTAATTTTTAAGTATACATCTGAATAGGTAGGTGCAGCAGTAAAGAATGGACACCACAAAGGCAAATAACCTAGGACTAACCAATCAGACGTCTGCTCCGAATTACAAATCGATGATTTTCACACAATCTTCGTTGGAAGTTTCACCCTTACCTTGTTCATAACCTTACCTTAATCACACCCTTGAATCAGGATGAAAATTGCAACGAAGATCATGTGAAAAGCATCGATTTGTGATTCTGAGCAGTCGTCTGATTGGTTCGTTCAAGGTTATTTGACTATGTGGTATCTATTCATTACTGTTGCCATTATGTTTGCAATTACAAGATAGAAAAGGTTCTAGTTATTTTACTTATGTATATTAATAATTTTTAGACAAAATAAACGAATGTAATAGGATATAATAGCCAAATGATTATTTTTTGTTGTGTAAGAAGATAGGTCATATCCTAGATCCATGCAAATGATCGTTCTACTGTAATTAGAAATAGTGATCCGAACTTTCCAAAAGAATGGCTATCAGTTTGCTTTCTAGATTATCAGTGTTTTTACAGGGGTTTGGATGAATACCAGGTGTTACATTGCGTCCCACAAACTAGTATCAGTTAAACAGAACACCGAAAATCACCAAAGAGTATTGGAAGGTTGATTCGTCCTACTCTGGGACTCTTCACCAGTGTGGACTAACAACCATTCCAACTGAAACCCAGACTTGACTTTAAGATGACAATGAACGTTGTGCATGTGAAAATGTCCATTTCACCAACTTCTTAAATTATTTATTGTGACTGATAAGTTCATTTTATCAATAAAATTGAAAAGGTTATGCTCATATTATAACTTACATCCTGCAATCAGATAAATGAATTGTGCCGTTTTACATCTTTTTATCTTTTTCACATTACGAAGATGCATTCTCATGACACCAAAAAATGCTGATATTTCACTGCATATTGTTCCAATTATAGCGAGCAGGCATGATGTTTCACATCGGGCTAGAAATATGAGGAGAAACAATGAATATTTGTAGTAGACCAGATGGATGATTTTCATTTAGTTGTGATGTTATCTGAATTTAGTTAGGTTCAATTGTGAGGCTTTCGTTGTCAGCCTTCTATACACAACATCGCTTCAGTACAGGTTTCAGTATGGAATGAACTTATCTGAATTCTGTCTCCATGACTGATGCTATAATTGTGTATCTTCTGACAGACAACCATTGTCGCAACTGGTTGTTAATTTGTATCTCTCTTGAGTGTTTTTATTGACTTGGATTTTGAACTTAGTTTAAAAAGAGTTCAAACACACTGTAGCACTCCCATGTTGAAGATATTGGAGTAGAAATACCTACTAACTGTCTTCAAATCAATGAATATCCACACAGCTGCTTTCATCAACAAGGGTGTGAAGCAACAAGAAGAAACGATCATCAAAGACCACAAGACTACAGGTTCACTCTATCATATTTAAAGAATGTCTTTGAAATAAGTGAAGGCTACAGTACTGTGACCATTTGAAGTAAACATGACACACAAGCCAAATAACACAATCACTTCAATCAATATTGTACAGAGCGAAAGATCTAACAGAAACAGCAGATGAGATCAGTAACACTATTCACAAAATAAAGGGCTTGCCTGAACTGCGATAAAGACTACTTTCCTAAAAGTGGGCGTCCGCTGCCCGTCCGAATCCAAGAACAAAAACCATCAGCTTTAATAAAAAGATGCAATAGGTATTCTTGTTTCATATCGGTGCATGTAGATAATTACGGACACATCAGTTTGATTGGGATAATGCAGAAATCTTAAAGAGAGGACACACGAAGAATGCAGTCATGGAACTTCTAAAAGCCTACTTGACACTCAGAAGAATCAGTCAGCGTTTGACAAACACACCACTTACTATGCATCAAATCTACCAACTAATGAAACAGACAATAAATAAAATGACAAGGATGTTGAAATTCCAAGTGAATGAAAATGATCAAGAGAGATAGATGTAAATTTACGAAGAACGAATAGCGACAACGGCTGCCTGTCAGGAAACACACAATTATAACATCAATCATGGAGAGAGAATTAAAATTAGTTCATTTCTTCATACTGAAACCTGTGCCGAAGTGATGTTGTGTCCAGTGGGTAGACAACGAAAGCTTTGCAATTAAATCTGCAACCAGCTGAGCAGATAGAACTCAATTAAATTAAAATATGAGTGCAAAAAAACAAAAGAAAACAGAGATTAACCTTTAGGGACAACTGGCTTTCATTGATGGTGATCTGATTAGCCGACTTGAGTTTCATTGTCAGTAGCAGGACAACAGTGAATACAAATTACTGGATAGTCGAATGTCTGTATTAATTTCACTGATTCCGATTCACTAGAAAAGCAGTTTATTTCCTTTGAATAACAAGAACCACTGCATTCGCCTTGATGCCATCATGGTGACAGATCTCTGTTAACGATACAGTTTTGGACGACTATAGGGTCCGTCAGTGGCATAGCGGTTAGGACGATCGCCGACCATGCACATGGTCCGGGGTTCGATCGCCGGCCGACTCACTCCATTACCTCACTAGGCCAGAAATGGTGCTGGTGAAGAGGAAAGGTTGGACATGAGGCTAGCAACCCCATCCTGTAAAATAAGCACTGCTACAGAAACTTCAGGCCACTAGCTTGAAGCCCTATGTTCCACCGGGGAACGTGAAGGAAAAAAAAGTAGGGTCCATCCTTTTTCTTTAATTTGCACCACCTACTTTATCCTGTGGACATTATTATAGCTTTTCAATAAATAGGCCAAAAAATACAACAGCAAATTTCATGAAAATATACGTTTAACTTTTGCATTTATTGTCTGCTTCATTTAATCCACTATAATACTGCGTAGATGACATTATCGAGCAACAAATTTGTGAGACAAGTGAGCAACGAATGTAAGGTAGTTCAAGAATATAATACCAAATATAAAAAAATATTTACTCCAGACGAAACATTTCCTAATGCAAAATTTCATTTAAAAAGAATACAAATGATATAAATTGTTATTAAACCACACCATAGCAAGTGACTACGACTCTACAATTGGCGAGGATATGTAGTAAAGTCACTCACGAAATATTTGCTAGGCTCTATTTTAAGTAGATCTCGAACGCTAGTCAAATTTTTAAGACTTACCTCATTAAAAACATTAAAGAACAAGATTTCATCATGAGTGGACATCTGTTAGAGGACCATTAGAAAACCAGATGGGAGTACTCCCAGACAGCTGTTCAGTCTACCTATTTTGGGACTCTTGATGAGGTCAATTATATTGGCCAGTCAAACTAGCATATCGGGGCCAGTTCCATTTAGTGGAGCATAAAAACTTAGCTAGATCTAGAATGGTTGACCCTGCTAAGTTAGATAACCTAGAAAAAGCAGAGCTCGGCCATTGCATTGCATTTCGTTCACTTGCATATAATGACACAATAGGGTGGGTAGGATAGGTAGAGAGTATTTAAAAGTGATAGTAATAGTTAAATGGAGAGACACAGAGGTTAATCACTGAATGTTTGTTGATCGTCAAGTCACCACCTTACACACGCATCGCCTACCTACAGGTGATTTGAAGGTTGCAAGAAACTACAAAGAAAAGAGGGGGTAGAAGAGAGAGAATGAGAGACAAAAGACATGCATAAAACAAACTATGATTCCGTGTGAGTAAATTGATGTGATTATGAGCAGGAATAACTTATGCTTGAAACCTTTCCATCATCCACTTGTTAATACTGCACCATTACTTTGTGTGATATTTGGAATAAACTTATTTAAAATGAGATAAGACTGTTGTTATTTCCACGGTAGGGTTACTAGTCATACGTCAAACCTTCACTCCTCATCAGGCTTAATTTAAGATACTAAACGAAGTGAAGTTAAACAGTGTGATGACAGGGAAACGAATCTCAAATCGCCACATGAATGGTGAGCATTCTACTATTGAATCACCTATGTAAGACAACCATTCTTTAAATTCAGGTGTCGGTTTTCAGGGATTTGACTGGTCACAGGATTGATCACGAGGTGACATCGGTTAGAGGACAACCATTGGTAAAGCAGCTGGGAATAGGATCAGACAGCTGTCTCCGTTGTCCAAGTTTGAGACTCTATATATATAATCTACCTTAGGCCATGGAAAACAGATAGTTCTGATTGGTCGGCAATTCTGCAAGGTCATCGAAAAATAAATTTTCTGATTGGTTGACGATTGGTTAGACCAAGGCGAAGGTGTAAGAAAAAGATGATGAAATTGTATAGTCGACCGATCACACAATGAATTATAAGAAGCTTACTAATTTAAGCCTATTCCTATTATCTATACTGTAGGTGTAGTGAAATCCAGTCTTCCCATTTTATTATCTTAGCTGGTTACTTTTCAAACCAGCATTTGAGAAGTTTGCTGGTTTTTGATAGTCATTTTACAGATGGCTTACTGCAGTCGAAGGAAATCCTCATCAATAATTTTTGTCAGCTAACCATAACATTTTCAGAAATTATGGTTGAAAACAATTAGTCCCTTTGATAAATTTTAATAAGGCATTAAGAAGACACATTTCGCGAGATGATATCATTTTGTAGATTCTTTACAACCGCTTTACAACTAACATGGTTAACAATAATAAAATAAAGTTCATGACAGTTACTCAGTTAAATGAAAAACAAAAGTACACACTAATGACCAATCATATTTAGATAGGTCATGTTGTCCATTCTAGGCGAAGATTGAAGTCTATTGATTTTTGTACACACAGTTTAGTCTGTGTGAATAAATAAAGTATAATTATATTTCAATAGTTTACACAACGATAAGTTTTGTTATTGGTAATATTTCGAGCAAAATTACTACCCGTGTTCACACCACTGTTGGAATTGTTTTGTTCACACATTTATGTTTTGTACTCATATATATAGTTCATTATTTTTGTTCATTCATGTTTTTGTATTCAGAATTATATTCCAAGTTGTTGATAATTGTACTGAGTCACCATTGTTACATGTATCCGGTGTGACCTTAATGAATATCGATTCTGTTATAAGTCTTTCTTTCCATTTGTTCATGTTAGTTTTTAGAATACACACATTGTCCCAATTGATATTGTGGTTTTTGTCCCATGCATGTGCTTCCATCACCTTCAATAACCTTGAATTAGAGTTATGTGAAATAATTGTGAAACAGTCATTAATATTGATTTTGTGACCTGACATTAATAAGTGTTTTGCAATGGATGATGCTGGATTTCTATTCAGATGACTCGCATTGGGATTTTCTATATGATTTAGTAGCCATTTTGGAACATGCTCTTTCCGACGACATTGGAACATTCTATTGGTTCAACCTATGTAGGTGTCACCGCAGCTGCAGGTGAACTTGTAGATACAGTTTGAAGTAGAGTTCACAGAATTTGGTCCCTTAATCGCTGGTACAGGGATCGAAAATGTTCGGCATCTGAGAAAAAGAGATGCGGCGTAGAATGTGCGTTTGATGGCTGACCGAAGTCTTTGAGCTGTCAACTGCATAATCTGGTCACCCTTGAATGGTAGTTTAATAAAGATAGCTTTCTTTGGTACAGAAGCTGTCTTTTCTACATGTGGTCTTTCTTTACTGTAACAATTGATAAAGTTTTCTGGATAACCATTAGCTAACAAAACTGAATGTATATGTCGAAACTCCTTCATCAATGTGTCACTCGTGCATATTTTTCGGGCCCTTGAGAACAAACATTTCACTAGGGAACGTTTATACTGGATAGGAACAAAACGGGTGAAATAAAGATATTGTCCACTCCATGTCTGTTTACGAAAAATAGATGAATATGATTAAATAGGGTAATAAACTTTTCAATAGATTTACTATTATTACCAATAATGAGAGTATCACCTACATAACGCTTATACAGCATAAATTCTCCAAGCATACCTTGCATTTGTCTCTCCAATTTCGACATGAAAATATCTCTTAACAGGGGCCCTAAGAGGGCTACCCATCGCAACACCATCGATTTGTTTGTATGCCTTTTCTTGGAAGGTGAATCTAATATTTTCTGTACACATTAAGATGATGTCTCTGATGTAAGTTACAGGAATAGGTAAGTTTATTTCATTGCTTGTGTTGTAATCGCAGATGAAATCAACAGTTTCATCAAGGGGAACATTGGTGAATAAAGATTCTATGTCATTTGAACACATAACCTTATCCTTGATGTTCAAGGTGTCTAGTATATCTGTCAGATCAAATGAACTTTTTACAGAATGATTCGATAATGAGTCTCTTACAGGCATAAGGACCTCTGTAATCCATTTTGCGATTTTGTGCCATGGAGAACTCGACATGTCTAAGATGGGTCTCAGAGGGTTCCCAGTTTTGTAGATCTTCGGAAGGCCTTAAAGCCGGGGAGTATGTGACCCAGTTGCTTTAATTTGTTTATAAAGTTTTTCATCTATAAAACCATGCATCAATAAGATCTGAAGCTGACGATTGATCTGCTTTTCCACAAGCAGCGCATTATCAGCAGCATTGTACACCAGAAATTTAGACTGATCTCTGAGGATATCATTCATTTTATTTTGATAATCCTATTTGTCCATAATGACAACGCCTTCTCCATTGTCAGGTTTAAGGATCATAAGATTATCTTTTTCGATTAATTCCTTAAGTGCGGCGTGGTGTTATTGTGATAAACCATTTTTCTGGTGTATTCTAGCATTTAGAAATTGGTGAGAAATGTCCACCAGTTTAACTTTAAACCAGTCAAGATTATATTTACTAGAAGGAGTTAAATCAGAATTTACAAAATCTCAGCATATATATATATTTATATAAATTCCGGTTTAATAATACTTTGATAAAGCTATTAGCATTAAATAGCGAAACGTCAGTAAAAAAAATGTCGTTTTGTTTTTCATTCATTGGGAAATACAAAAACTTTTATTATAATAAATATCATATACTCGATGTCCAAATTTTTTCAAACTGTTAAAAGTGAACTTGGTTTGGAAATATACAGCCTAAACTGTGTGTACAAAAATCAATAGACTTCAATCTTCGCCTAGAATGGACAACATGACCTATCTAAATATGATTGGTCATTAGTGTGTACTTTTGTTTTTCATTTAACTGAGTAACTGTCATGAACTTTATTTTATTATTGTTAACCATGTTAGTTGTAAAGCGGTTGTAAAGAATCTACAAAATGATATCATCTCGCGAAATGTGTCTTCTTAATGCCTTATTAAAATTATGGTTTGTTGTCAACTTCTCCACTTCTATGTTCGACGTTACTTGTTCAACCGTCGAATACTTGTCAACCATGGATGTGGTTCGGGCTTCGATCTCCTGCTAACGTATTCCTAAATGTCACTAAACCAGTAGAAGGATAAGTAAAGAGGGGGATTGTACTAGAGGCTGACAGTCCCATTCTTAGAAAATAAAACCACTGATACCGAAACTTCAACACACACAAGCTTGAAGCCCAATGTTCCACCGGGAAAGCAAAGTAAATTCTACATTTACTATAATAAGCAGCGTGAAGACATTTGTGATTACATCAACAAAAAGAGAGACTTCAGTTCTTTTCTAATGTGATTATTCTCGTTCACACATGTAAATTTCATTGAAAACTTTGAATTGATGAAAAAAGGCGCTCTCTCTGATTTCTTTCCTACGTTAACAGCGAAATTATCTGTTTACATGCAGGTTTATTTCAACTAAAACGATAATCTTTAATTTTACTTGAAATTTCCCGTTTGTTGGTGACTGGACAGGTTGACATATCAGCAGCTCCTTCTGCAGATGATGTCTGAGACCGAGTACTTCGGTCCAATCATGAGTTAACGAGAAAGTTCAAATTATTGAGTTAAATAATTACTGTGATACCTGTTGCACAATAAAGAGGTGACTCGTATCGTGACACAAGTGGTCTAGTGGAGGCAACGTTTTGGCGGCGTTTGAATATGTTGGTGGGTACTGGCTTCGAGTCTCAGTTGGGAAAGACCACCACTCACTGATTCACTGGAGATGACCAGTAGTCCCAAACAGGACGAAATACGCATCTCAGGGGATCCCATCCACTGCTGATCACCATCCACCAATTTAATTTAAGTCTCAAAGATAATCGTTTGAAGGTGGAAACTGTGAAAATTACGTCCATTCAGTGCTGTCACCATGAGCACAGATAAGCTGTCGGTTATAGATTTCAACAGTCAAGGTGGCGCTATTCGACAGCAACCAGGGAAGATAAAAAAATTAAGTTATTATGCAACATACTATTTCTAACTGTACTATGCTGATGGGTATGATTTTTTGGTGACTAGGGAATACTGAACTAGAAATATAAGCTAACCAAATTTAATTTCGCAGTACGGTTTGCAAGGATTTGACTGGTTATGGGTTTTGTCACGCACTAACATCACCTAGACAGCCATTGGAAAACCATTGGGGATTACCTGATGGCTTTTCCCCCCTAGTTTGAGACTCCTCAGAAGAGCACAAGCATGCGTCTACCAAGGATGTTCCATTTACAAAGCAACTTTGCATATCATTCAGCATATTTCGTGAATCAGAAGAAGCCAGAATTCAGGGACCATTGGTTATGGTCTTAGTGGCTGAATGGTGATCTACAAGAGCTCGCGTTGTAACCAGATTGTCCTCGGTTCGAATCTTCGCAGTAGTTGTGTAATACCAATGAGTCCCAAACTAGGTTGGTGAAACACCTATCTGGCAGTACTCTCTACTGGTTTTCTAATGGTCCAGTAACCGATGTCGGCTCACGATAAAATCATGTAAACAATGAAATCCTTGCAAACGAACACTTGAATAAAAAATGAACTGGATTCAGAACTCCGCTATCCCCACGAAACAAGTCGGATTCAAGAAAGGCGAACCATGTGCTGATCAAATCGCACGTCTACGCATTATTATCATCATCACTGAAAAGAGCACAGAATGTGGCAGCTAAATATCTACCTCACTGTCATCGACTTTGGAGACGCCTTCGATAGAGTTGACCTCGAAGTTATTTGGAAACTACTTCGACACTGTGCAGTGCAGTAAGCCAAAACTTTGTTACCCTCATTCAATAGCTACACGATGATGGCATGTGTCAGGTGATCTCTAACGGAAACCTCAGTGAGGCATCTGAAGTCAACAGAGAAGTAAGAAATGCCGCCTATTATCAAGTACGATAATTTTCCTAACTGTGGAGGACTGAATTATGAGGAACACGTGGCGTCCAGAGGCAGAAGACAGCAACATGCTGGATCGATAAGAAGACTTTAGAAGATCTGGATTTCGTGGATGGTTTATGTCTCAAGTCACACAAACTCGAAGACTTGTGGGCAAGAGAAAACCAAAATATTGGTAGAAGAAACAGCAAGCGAAGACAGGGATCCAGGTAAAGACGGAGAAGACGGAGGTAGCTGATGAAGATAACAAACCAACCAACGGACCAACAGCAGCAACAGACAGCACCAATCACCATCAACGGGAGGAATTTGAAAGAGGTCACTTCCTTCACTTATCTAGCTATGCAGCACTGTTTCAATTACGGGCTTTTGAGGATGTCAAAGACGGTCAGGCAGAATTGGAAAGGCAAGGCAGTACTCCTGCATCATTCGGAAATCTTCTCTACTCCGCCTCAGCATAAACAACAAGATTCAGATTCTTTTCACCGTAAATGTGAAGTCAGTCGGTCAGCCAGTCAGTTCTTATTTTTGGATCAGAAACTTGGCCATAGCCCATCACAGGAGGCATTTCGAACAGCCAGCCGCACACTTTTATCAACAGCTGCCTACTTCACTGTCTCCATCCTGGTGGTCAGGTGACCAGCGAGAAAAAACTGGCAACAAGAAACTATTGGAGCAATCCAGTGAGGAACCTATTGCTCATAAATATGCAAATAGATTGAGTACACGCCACTGAGGAGACCATTGAATGTCGTCGCGCGTTAGCCAGATCATCACTTGATTGGTTGAACGTGAATGGTATTCAGTGACAAGTCAGGTGTAGTTGGCCCGAGGGAGACATGGAGGAGAAGATGAGGGATTATAGACAATCATAGAGCCAATCAGCTAAAGGAAACAGCATATAACAGAACAAAGTGGAGACGTGCTCCGGTTGAGGACTAATGTTCCACTCGGAACCCACCAGAACAATTATAGTAATAATAATGCGAGAACTCAAAAAATATGCTCCTCCAGTATAAACTTACTCAAGTTTTGATAATTTGTGTGCATATGTACTGCTTCAAGAAATTTGTCAGATATCCAACAACGTCTAACACATACACTTATCAAAGACAGCAGACCTCCTAATCCAGTGAATGAAATAACAACAAGTTCAACATAGAAGATGTACTGTTTCTGATTTAGAGATGACATACTGGGATAACTTATCTGTGAATTGATATGTGTGCTGTTGTGGTTGTCAGTGAAACAACAATAGGACAAGGCAGGGAGTCATTTTTATCATGACAGTGATAAAATAAAATGAGGAGAAAATTTTTATGCGTTAAACTTGTTCATTTCATCGATATTACATAAGCAAAGCTGTTTGCTACGTTTCTGAAGACATTTTATTGGCAGAGATTCGTAAAATGTTTGTGATTGGTTATATAGTTTTGAGTAGATACACACATTCTATCGATGACGAAATTAAGTTTGGTGGAAAATGCCCATTGGGCATATAGAAAATAAAGCAAGTGATTCAGCGAAGAAACACTTTCCAACCAATTTATTATCAAGCTGTACAACCGTTTGTATACTGTTTTTAAGAAATTATAACTGGTGGGGAATTAAATTATAAGAATGAATGCGTGAAATAAAAATAATAGTAGTAGTATGAAATATAATTAAAATATTTGCGGTTATAATCATAGTTCAATGTGATTTTCCGTATGTCCCAATGGGAATTTTACATGAATCTTTATCATCAAGCTGTACAATCATACATATATGGTTTTTTATATTAAGAAAGTATACCCCTCGAGGAAATTTAAACCAAGGTGTGAATAAGTAAAATAACAATATTAGTACTATGCAATGGAATTAAAATACTTGTGAGTGTAATCATAGTTAAATGTCAAGTGACAGAACAATTAGTATCACATATGTAGGATAACTCATAGGCTGTATAGATGTTCGAAGGCAAACAAAATAGAAACGTTACGCAACATGCTGTGAAATTTGATAACATAGAAAGTAACGTTGCAAAACAAAATCGATTCAGAAGGACAAGTGTGACGAGTGAAATTATACCAGGGATAATTCACAGTGAGAATAATAATATTTATAATAACAACCGATGTAATAAGGGAGAAGTATACAAATTGAATTAATTTGGGCATATAATTTTTCATTGCCTTGTAGATGATTCTAAAGTTAGAGGCTGAGGAGAAAGGGTGATCAGCATCGGACAGATGTTCAATGGTTGCGCTTCTTATAGCTCCAGTTCCACTTCTACGTAATCGCCATGCAGGATAGTGTTCTCGCAACCTCCCTTGTACAAAATCTGAGTCGAACGACAGACATATACCTAGCTCCACACAAGTAAATGAGTTGAAAAACGAGCAAAGAGTTGATCGACTATAGGAACTTGTCCTTCAGGTTATCGAACAATAGTAATGGTCGAAAACTAAAAAATGCTATTCTCATTGATGCACAGCAAGGAATGTCTTTTTCAGGGACGGTGAGATCCTTCTTTCAATGATGTTGGCAGTTAAGTCACCTATGAATTCCAAGTTCATGTGCAGCATTTTCTTGGTTATGAACGTTAAGTCACATTTCATAGGTTTTGGCTGTATGATATTGCCTTTAAAACGTTGTGGAAATCCATTTTGCATTAGGACTTTTCTTTAACGACTTAACTCTTCTTCCACAATATCAGGACTACATATACGTCAAATGCAAGTAGCTATTGGTCGAATCGAGATTCATTTATGAACAATGGGTACCTAGCTGTAAAAATGTGTCAGTTGACCATTCCACTATAGTTTTCTATGAATTGATCTCCTTAGAGTAGCATCGGTTCTCCTTGATAAGTTTACATAGATAAAATGAGCGCTAGACTCGTTCTGCATTTCGAGTTTGAATATTATCGTTCGATGGCAACCACTAAATGCATTTAATATATTACTCAAATTATAATCATTTTTAATTTTGGTGAGTAATTAATTATCACTGGAATTAAACACCACATACACCTTGACTTTCCTGTCAACCTGTCAAGGAGAAAAATGGAATGACTGTCTTCTTAGGGTGACAGTAAGTTTTAGTGTTAATGAATACACACGCGTATTGCTTTTTTAGTAGGGGAACGTGTCAAATTTTCTTTGTTTATGGCTACTTTTTCCTTAATGGATCTGATCATTTGAGGTTGGATAATCTACATTTTATCGGATGTCATATTACAAAAATTGAGAGGATATAAGGAATGTTCACCCACTCATTCACTTGGGAGTTCTGACCAGTGACGCTGCATCGCGCGCCGACTGGCACAAGTTGGAATTCATGGGCTGGCCACTGGATCAATGGGGTCTCAGTGGCTGAATGGTTACAAGAGCTAGCCTTCTAATCAGAAGGTCCTGGGTTCGAACCCTGACAGTGGATGCGCACTGATGAATAGTCCCAAACTAGGATAACGGAACAGTTATCTGGCAGTACTGCCACATGGTTTTCAATGATTCTCTAACTGATGTCAGCTCATGATGAAAAGTACATGTTTCAGGTGTGAGTGTAATCAGTGGTTTATGAGACAGTGTGAATACTACAAAAAAATAAACCAACAAATGAGAAGGACCAGATGTAATTTCAGGAGTAACTAATAACAATAATTATAAATTATTTAAAATAATCCCAGCGTGCTTAAGAAAAATCAAAACAAGATTTTTGTGAATATTTCGATGTGTAAGTCACAGCTTCTTCAGCATTTTTCTGTCGGTACAAATGTCTACCGACAAGTGACCTTCAAGTGAACTGACTTCAATTTGTGCAATTTTCGACGATATATTTTGATGAGGAATAAAATCCTAATAATTCTGCTGAAGAAGCTGTAGCTTACACAGCGAAACGTTCAGAAATTACATGTTACTACATTAATGTTCAATTAATATTCTAGACAATCGAAAATGTCGTCCTTAATGGTGCAGTCAGACAACTCATACACCATTCATCATCACTTAACTGTGTAAAAGAAGGATGTTCATGACAATTAAACATTTTCAGGTTTACATGATACAAGATAAAGATCAATGGAGAATGAAATCCATTGGACCAGTCCTATCCCGATTATACGGCAGACCCAAAATACACAAGCCAAATATCCCGTTACGACCAACTGTATGGCTCCCAGGAACTCCAACACATAACTTATCAAAAGAATTATACAGAAAACTGAAACACCTAGCGGAATCTCGTGATCAATCCATCAACTCCGCTATCCAATTACTAGAGAAAATCAGAGGCATCCAAATAGATGAACAAGAGATAATGATATCCTTCGACGTCACAGCATCGTATACCTCAATCGGACAAAAACGAGCAAAATAAACCATGGAGCAATTACTTAGCAACAACGAACACCTTCCACAATACTCAAAAATGCAACACACAAGCTAGATGGAATGCATAAACCTACGTCTAACAACTTACTTCCAATTCAACGGCCAAATACATGAAAAAGTCAAAGAAACACCCATGGGATCGCCAATATCAGGTTTGATTGCAGAAGCAGTGATGCAAAGGCTCGAAAACATAATCCTACCAAAGATCAAACCCAAGATTTGGATACGTTACGTAGACGACGCAGTTGTAATTATCAAAAGAAAGGAGTTAGATAAAGCTCACAACCCGATAAACAACGTCTTCAATGACATCAAATTCATAAAAGAAGAGGAATCAGGAAACCAAATCCTATTTTTGTACGTCTTAGTCAAGCGAACGAGCACAGGACAACTAGAAACTCAAGTCTATAGAAAATCAACTCACACAGACCAAACCCTGAATTGCAACAGCAACAGTACAATAGCACACAAGAGGAATTGCATACAAACACTTTTCAAGAGGGTCAGGACCCATTGTAGCACTCCAACCTTAAGGAAAATTGAAGAAAGATATCTCATGGACGTCTTCCAAAAGAATGGATGTCCACGGAATTTCATCACCCCCAAGCCAACCTGTCAAACCAAAAGCCCCAAAAGAAAACACAAAGAAAGTCGCCCTGCCATATATAAAGGATATATCAGAAATTACTACAAGACTCGCAAAACCTTTAGGAATTGACGTCGTACACAAACCAACAAAGTCACTCCACTCAGTTCTATGTCAACCAAAATACTCAAAAGCGAAAGAAGATAAAACCGACATCATCTATAAAATAAATTGTAACAACTGCGAAAAACACTACATTGTCCAAAGTGGACGTCCCCTTCGTCTTCGTATCCGCGAACATAAACTAGGCATCAAAAGACATGACATCCATCCCCTCATATCACTACATACAGACAACCACGGGCATCAATTCGATTGGAACAATGTTCAAATATTAGACAGAGGAAACAACAAGAATGCTAGAGAATTTTTAGAAGCTTGGCATTCCAGTGAATCATCAATCAACAGACACATCGAGAAAGGCGAAAAATATCAACCGATAAGAAAGAAACCTCATACACGAAGGGTCTAAGTTCAAGTCAAAGAAAGAATGAGTTACAATACAAGTAGCCTATAAGGTGTAAAAACACACAAAAACAACCAATCACGTCCAAGGTAACCGGGAGAGATGATTACTAAACTCATGGAGAAATCTAAAAGCTCACTTCAAATTGAAGTATGCGCTGAAGATGTCACCTAGTAGGGCAATGAAAGCTACGCAAATTAACTATCCAGATGAGAGAAGACAACCACATCAAAACAAATTTACTTTACTTTGAATCTACTACTTAAAAACAATTTCAGTAGCTTACGACTGAACACAAATCTAATCAAGACACATTATTGAGAATTACTGTGGGTATTCATAACACTGATGTAAAATTTTATCAATGACATCATTGTAGCTCACTGATGTTTCAGTTGGTTTCAGTTTTGGCTACCTCCTACTAGTCTGTATCTATGCATGCACTGATGATAATTCTTGTTACTAGCACACGCCACAGCATATATGATTATCCTCATGTTATCACAGGTATTATATCAGCAGCAGTTGTGAGATTAGACCAGAACATTATGCAAATGATTCTTGTGTGTGGTGGTGGTGGTTGTGGTTGTGGGTGTTATCAGCAAGCGATAAGAACGAAAACAAGTTGAATGTAAATGACAATATATGGCGAACAAGTAAACGGTTGTTCATTTTTGAAATAATTTAATGGACATTATATTCCGCTCAAGCGTGAGTTAGTTAACTAAAGTTAAGTTAACTAAAGACATTGAACACTAGGTAGTGAGTAACTGGAGTCAGGCATGTCTGGTCCTATGTTTATTTGGTTCAGACAAACTTCTATCAATCATAACGGTAGTGTGTCAAGCATCAAGACAGGTGGCACAAAATCAAAAT